CCTCCTCTGAATAGCTGGGACTACTGGCCTGTAGTCAAGTGTACCAACTTGACTAATTTTTGGTGCATGACTTTTATCAGATTAATGAAACTTCCTTTTATGTACATATACGTATTTTTCTGAGTTTTTTCTTTTTAAATAAAAAGAGGGTTTAAAATTTATTTATTTTTATATGGAGCGCTTCATGAATTTGCGTGTCATCCTTGTGCAGGGGCCATGCTCATCTTCTCTGTATCGTTCCAATTTTAGTATTTGTGCTGCTGAAGCGAGCACGGGTTTTAAATGTATTAAGGGAATTTCTGAGTATATTGAGGTAATCGTGTGTGTGTACTTTAATTTTTTAATTTTTTAAACTTTTGTGATGCTGCTAAGATTTGTATTTTAAAAATTTATTTTTGATTTTTGTGGGCACGTAAGTGCATACATTTGTGGGGGACATGAGATATGTTGATACAAGCACGCAATGTGTAACGATCACATCATGGGAAGTGGGGTATCCGGTTCTTCAAGCTTTTCTTCTTTGTGTCACAAATAATCTAATTATACCCCTTTAGTTATTTTTGAATGTACAATTAAATTATTGACTAGAGTCACCTTGTTGTGCTATCAAATACTAGGTCTTATTCATTCTTTCTGTTTTCTTTTGGTACCCATTAACCATCCTCACTCCCCAAGCCCGTGCTTCCCCATTACCCTTCTTACCCTCTGGTAACCCTCTTTTACTCTCTATCTCCATGAGTTTAATTATTTTGATTTTTAGATCTCACAAATCAGCGAGAACATACAATGTTTGTCTTTCTGTGTCTGGCTTATTTCACTTAACATTAGTGACCTCCAGTTCCATCCATGTTGTTGCAAATGACAGAATCTCATTATTTTTTATGACCGAATAAGTACTGCATTGTGTATAAGTATCACATTTTCTTTATCCATTCATCTGTTGATAGACACTAAGGTTGCTTCCAAATCTTGGCTACTGTGAATAGTGTTGCCTATTGTAAATAGTGTTGCCTATTGTAAATAGTTAATATGGGAGTGCTGGCTACTGTGACTAGTTAATATGGGAGTGCAGGATCTTTTTGATAAACTGATTTTCTTTTTCGGGGGCATATATGCAGTAGTGGCATGGATGGATCATATCTTAGTTCCATTTTTAGTTTTTTGAGGAGATTCCAAACTATTCTTGATAGTGGTTGTACTAATTTACAGTCCCAACCAACAGTTTACGAAGGCCCCTTTCCTTCACATCCTCACCAGCATTTGTTATTACCTGTCTCAATAGGATGAAAGCCATTTTAACTGGAGTGAGATGATTATCTCCTTGCAGTTTTGGTTTGCATTTCTCTGATGCTCAGTGATGTTGAGCACCTTTTCATGTGTCTGTTGCCATTTTTATGTCTTTACTTTTTTATTTTTCTGAGACCAAGTCTCGCTCTGTCACGCAGGCTGGAGTGCAGTAGTGCAATCTCAGCTCACTGCCACCTCCACCTCCCAGGTTCAGGCAATTCTCCTGCCTCAGCCTCCCGAGTAGCTGGGATTATGGCTGCCCGACACCACACACGGCTAATTTTTTTATTTTTAGCAGAGGCGGGGTTTCACCATGTTGGTCAGGCCGGTCTCAAATTCCTAACCTCGTGATCCGCCTGCCTCAGCCTCCCAAAGTGCTGGGATTACAGGTGTGAGCCACTGTGCTCCACCTGTCTTTACTTTTTTAAAAAATTGTTGGCTGAGTGCAACAGCTCATGCCTGTAGTCCTAGGAGAACTGCTTGAGCCCAGGAAATCAAAACCAGCCTGGGCAACACAGTGAGACTCCATCTCCATAGAAAGGAAGGAAGGAAGGGAGGGAGGGAGGGGGGATAGCCAGTGCAGTGAAGCACACCTGTGGTCCCAGCTTCTCAAGAGGCTAAGGTGGGAGGATTGCCTGGGCCTAGGAGGCTGAGGCTTCAGTAAACCATGATCATGTTACCTCACTCCAGTTTGGAGGACAGAGCAAGACCCTGTCTCAGGAAAAAAAAAAAAAATTGTTAATAGACTAAACTAGATTTTTTTTTTTTTTGAGATGGAATCTCGTTCTGTCACCCAGGCTAGAGTGTAAGTGGCTTAATCTCGGCTCACTGCAGCCTCCTTCTCTGGAGTTCAAATGATTTCTGTCTCAGCTTCCAGAGTAGTGGGACTATAGGCACAAGCCACCACGCCTGAGTAATTTTTGTATTTTTAGTAGAGACAAGGTTTCCCCATGTTGGCCAGGCTGGTATTGAACTCCTGACCTCAGGTGACCCACCCAGGCCTCAGCCTCCCAAAGTGATGGGATTACAGGTGTGAGCCATGGCCTGTACTAGATAAATAGATTCTTTAAAATGTTAAACTAGGCCAGGTGCAGTGGCTCATGCCTGTAATCCCAGGACTTTGGGAGGCCAAGGCGGGCAGATCATGTGAGGTCAGGAGTTTGAGACTAGCCTGGCCAACATGGGGAAACCCCACCTCTACTGAAAATACAAAAAAAAATTTGCTGGGCGTGGTGGCGCGTGCCTGTAATCCCAGCTACCCGGGAGGCTGAGACTGGAGAATCGCTTCAACCTGGGAGGTGGAGGTTGCAGTGAGCCACTGCACTCCAGCCTGGGCGACAGAGTGAGACAACATCTTTATTTTATTTATTTATTTTTTTTTTGAGACAAGAGTCCCGCTCCATCACCAGGCTAGAGTGCAGTGGCGCGATCGCACCTCACTACAACCTCCGCCTCCCGGGTTCAAGCAATTCTCCTGCTTCAGCCTCCCGAGTAGCTGAGACTACCGAATGCCCACCACCATGCCCAGCTAATTTTTGTATTTTTAGTAGAGACGGGTTTTCACCATGTTGGCCAGGATGGTCTCGATCTCTTGACCTCGTGATCCGCCCACCTCGGCCTCCCAAAGTGCTGGGATTAGAGGCGTGATGCACTGCGCCCAGCGAGACAACGTCTTTTAAAAAAACGTTCAACTAGGTTTGTGTTCCTTGTTATACATTCTAAGCCATAATTTAATATATATTCTTGATATAACTTGATATATATTCTAACCCATGGCTTACCGCTTCACAAACCCTGAGCCTCCTGTGTTGTGAATATCCAGCCATGTGATTTTTATGTATCTCACCCTCCACTCCTTCAGTTGTTGAGGCCTTCAACTAAAATAGTCATCTAATCTCATGGCGCCACCTGGTGGCAAAACTTTGAAATTTCGGACGTCTCTTCACCTTTCTTTCCCTATTAGAGAGACTCATACATGCAGTTTTCTCCTTCAGTTCTATTCTCTCTTGTGCCTTTCATCCATTAACTTTACTCCCCCATCCTCCTTTCTCATGCTCTCCTAAATTTTCTCATTACGTTCATGTAAATCATTCTCTTCCTTTGCTCTCTGTTTGCTCCTTTATGAGTCTAAATCTACCTCAACCACAGTGAGAATAGTACTACTAGTGACTGGGAAAACTACAGCTCTACATTTTGAAATGACATTTCATACAATAAAGTGCCAGCTAGACTACTTCAGAGTCCCTGAAAATACTTAAAATTCCCTTTAAAATTTCATTTCTTAAATTTCAAGTAATATCTAATTATTTCTGCCCAGGTTAACATCAAGCTCAAGTATTGAAGAAAAATTATAAAACTGTTAATAAATGTCATTGTTTCTGTGTTCCTTTGTTACAACCTTTGACAAATTTGGAGTCTCTTCTGTATTTCGCTGCAAAGACTCAGTTTTTCATTATGGGTTAAACTGCCTAGAACAGAACCACCTTCCGTGACATGGTCTTCACGGGAAACAATCTGCCACAGCTGCCCTTTTGGTACATAATAAGATGGAGATTTCGAGTAACTGCATTTGTAATTGTTTCACCCAAAAGGTTAAAAAATACTGTAACCAGTGTTCTCCCTAGTCAGGGAAATGACTCACAGCTAAGCTTGACCATTTAGCAGTTTCTTTGTTAATTCTGACTTTGTTTTCAGTATTGCTAAGGGGTATATTGGAGAATGGCAGGTGAGTCAGCTGAGGAAGACAGACCAGAGAAAGTAGGGCCAAAATTGACCTCTTTAATTCCTGCAATGCCAACATGTCTGCAGAGGAGGTAGTTTCCATGCTTGGTTTGTCTTAACCTAGCCAGTCTTTTTTTTTTTTTTTTGAGACAGAGTCTTGCTCTGTTGCCCAGGCTGGAGTACAGTGGTGCCGTCTTGGCTCACTGCAACCTCCATCTCTTGGGTTCAAGCAACTCTGCCTCAGCCTCCTGAGTAGCTGAGATTACAGGTGTGCGCCATGACGCCCAGCTCATTTTTGTATTTTTAGTAGAGGCAGGGTGTCGCCATGTTAGTCAGGCTGGTCTCGAACTCCTGACCTTGTGATCCGCCCACCTTGGCCTCCCAAAGTGCTGGGATTACAGGCATGAGACACCGTGCCCAGCCCCCTATCCAGTCTTTTGGTAGGTAGGCACTGAGAATTTGCTTATTCAAAAGCATAGCAACTATAGATTTAAAGAGTAGGCACTAAAAAGTATTTTGGATCCATTAGTCTGGTTACTACCTGAAAGTAACTTAATGCCTAACTTAATCATCAGAGAATGTCAAATAAAATATAAAATCTGGTAGAACACATTACTTTGACATGAAGTTCTGATGTTTATAGCTTTAAGACGACCTATTATTCTAAATAAGAAATCTTATTACTGAAAGAAACTAGTTAGCTGGTGTAGAGTTGTTACACTATTAGAAGTCTAGCATCTATTTAAAAGGAAGATTTAAAGTTATTTTTATTTCCACATTCTAATAGTGGAGTTTCAAAGGTGGATTGAAAAAAAGAAAAAGAAGTTAAAGATTAGGCAGGAGTTTGACAGTAACAGTCCCTACATAATCCAGGCTGATGAAGGCATTTCTGCTATTACAATGTGCTGAGCAAGCAGTCAGCCTGCCCATTCAGCTTTCTACTGTGTTCCTTTGCTAAATGGTTTCTAACCTCTTAATGTCTCTTTTGAAAGGTGGGGACCCAAACTGTATGCGTTGTTCCAGATGCGCTCTTGCCAAAGCAGCATAAAGCAAATGTAACCCTTAGGAAGAAGGCTCCCCCCCCTCACTAGGTAAGTATAACCAGCAGCCATGACCAGGGCCAGCCCACTTGCCCACGAGACCTGCTGTGCCTTCCATTGCTAGGATGCTGGTGGGACCTGAATCTATTCATCCACAGGGCCTGTGAATTTCAAGTCAAAGGAACTGACCAAGAGCAACCTTTATCTTTACAGCTTCTGATTCTATCCCCTCTGGGTTCTTTCTTAATAGTTTGCATCTCTTGGACTCTTTGCCAAGCCAGAACATCATCCTCCAATATAATAATTTTGAGGTCAGCTAGAGTTTATTACAGTGATGTTTTACCTGTAATCTTGGTGAGCTGATTGGACCTGCTACTTTAGAGCATTCTCTTACCTTTAGAAAGAGCCCTCTTGAGCATTGAGAATGAAACTATCATAGTGCAAGTTCTCACGTGACACTTATGTTCTGCTGGGAGGTTTTTTTCTTCTTTTAAATAAAACATATTCAGGCCCCGTGTGGTTGCTTATGCCTATAATCCCAGCACTTTAAGAGGCGGAGGCAGGTGGATCACCTGAGGTCAGGAGTGAGTTTGAGACCAGGCTGGCCAACATGGCGAAACTCCATCTCTACTAAAAATACAAAAATAATTAGCCAGGTGTGGTGACGCATGCCTGTAGTCTCAACTACTTTGGAGGCTGAGGCAGGGGAATTGCTTGGTGGAGGTTACAGTGAGCCAAGACAGTGCCACAGAGAGACTGTCTCAAAAAAAAAAAAAAAAGGCATATTTAGATTTGCTTAAAAATGAAGTTCCGAGGCCAGGCACAGTGGCTCACGCCTGTAATCCCAGCACTTTGGGAGGCCAGGGCGGGCGGATCACAAGGTCAAGAGATTGAGACCATCCTGGCCAACATGGTGAAACCCCGTCTCCAAAATAAATAAATAAATAAATAAATAAATAAATAATGAAGTTCCGTACAAGCACATTGAGTACAACAGTGGTCCCCAACCTTTGTGGCACCAGGGACTGGTTTCATGGAAGACAGTTTTCCCACAATCTGGGAATGGGGTTGGGGGAGGGAGGGGATGGTTTTGGGGTGAAAGTGTTCCACCTTAAATCATCAGGCATTAGATTCTTGTAAGGAGTGTGCAACGTGGAACCCTCACATGCGCAGTTCACTACAGGGTTTGCTCCTTTGAGAATCTAATGACGCTGCTGATATGACATGAGGTGGAGCTCAGGCCATAATGCTTGCTCACCGCTCACCTCCTGCTGTGTCTCCCGGTTCCTAACAGGCCACACCCCGGTCCTGGGCCTCGGCCCAGGGGTTGGGGATTCCTGGAGTAGAAGAATTAAAGAATTGGTTCATAAGCTAGGTTAATATAGTATTATGTACTGACCTCAATTTGGTAATATTTTAAAATCATTTTGCAATATGATTACCATGACAATAGGCTGTTTTTAAATTCTTTACTTTTTTGGGCAGAGACTATTTGACTCATCCCATTTCTGAATAAAACCACAATAATGTTGTTTATGTTGTAGATCTTGAATGGTTCATTGAGTTCCCCCAACTTGCTGGTTAAGTCTCCCCAAGTTCTGTAAACCTCCCTCTAGCTAAATGTGAATATATTTGAGATAAAACTTAAAGATGTAGAACCAATGTCCTTTATAGAAATACTATGTTTTAGATTTATTTATGTGACAAAAAATGGTCACATGTGTTCAGATAAGGTGGGGAATTTTAAAAAGTAATTTGCTTGTTTGGCTTTGAATTTTGGACTGCTCTGAAGTGAGTTTAAAGTCAGTCATGCAAGATTCTCTCTGATATTTCATGACACTGCCAAAACACTTTCCTTATGTCAAAGTCCACTTGAAACGCTACAACACATCCATCATTTTTTGCTCTCACTTGCTTTGGAAGGGGTCTAGCTGAGAATCCATAGACTCCAGCTAGTCTTATTTCTGGAATTTGAACTAAAATCCTGGGTTAAAGCACATTCTTTTTTTTTTTTTTTTAGGATGGAGACAGAGTTTCACTCATGTTACCCAGGCTGGAGTGCAATGGCGCGATCTCGGCTCACCGCAACCTCCACCTCCTGGGTTCAGGCAATTCTCCTGCCTCAGCCTCCTGAGTAGCTGGGATTACGGGCACGCACCACCATGCCCAGCTAATTTTTTGTATTTTTAGTAGAGACGGGGTTTCACCATGTTGACCAGGATGGTCTCGATCTCTTGACCTCGTGATCCACCCGCCTCGGCCTCCCACAGTGCTGGGATTACAGGTGTGAGCCACCGCGCCCGGCATTAAAGCACATTCTTAATGTGCCATAGATTGCCACAAACAATACTCTTCTTGGTTATTTATCTTTAGCCCTTTCTTCCAGTGCAGAAATTCACTGATGTAATTCTTTCCATTTTGTTGATTAGTAAAACTCCCCAAGGTAAAATTTACCTAATCTTTTATAATTTTTCTTCCTTGATTTTCATCTGTTAATGTTCTTTTTAGAGCAAATCCTTTAAGTGAGTTTGACTCTGAGCTATTGTCGTCAGAAGTAGAAGAAAGTTTCTGCATGACTCATCAGAAAAGTCAAGATCAAATGACAGAAAGAGATTTTGAATTATCTAGAGATGAATTTATGAAGGGATCCGCGGAGCTGGGGATTGCCACATCCTCCACCTTGAAATGTCACATAGTTGGCCACCTTGGAAGACCTGCTGGGCCCCTCTATAACTGATTATAAAGTCATTGAACAAATAAAAAGAACAGGGACTCTGAGTGATGTTCTGGTCCTCCCCACTGTCCCCAGTGCTTCTCCACAGCACTGTCATCCTGCATGCCTCGTGACTAGGGGCCTGCAGGATTATGGTGGTAAGGAATTAAAGGTGACATCTAAAGCCATGGGCAGGCCAGGAGCAATGGCTCATGCCTGTAATCCCGGCACTTTTGGAGGCCGGGGCAGGTGAGTTGCATGAGCTCAGGAGTTTGAGACCAGCCTGGGCACAACTTTAGCTCTACAAAAAATTATCTGGGCATGGTGGTGCATCCTTGTGGTCCCAGCTACTTGGGAGGCTGAGGTGGGAGAATTGCTTAAGTCCAGGAGATCAAGGCTGTAGTGAGCCAAGAGCCTACCCCTGCACTTGAGCCTGGGTGACAGAGCGAGACCCTGTCTCAAAACCAAAATGAAGCCATGCACAAGGTAGAACTGACTGGTGTCTCCATGGACAGAACCCCTATAGCCTTGGGATCAGACTGTTCCCAAATGACTAATCAGCCTCAAAGGCTGGCACAGTCTGGTGTATTTAGACACGTGAGCGTTTTGCTCTCAACCTGCAGACCTTGTCCTTTCTCTGAGGCTCTGGGCTGATTTTAGCTGAGGAGGTCAGATTAGATCCAATCTGCAGATCCTCCCTCCTGGATCCCTGAGGTGGGAAGTGGCCTGAGGTGGGTCCGATGGAGCTGGTGTAAACTTATTCCTTGGGCATACATGCCCCATGGCTGCTCAACGCTTTCCCTTGGGATTCACGTCACGAAGGTGTATGTGGTTGTGATGTGAAAGAGAGTTTATGCTGTGATCTTATATCCACATCATAATTCTGGATCAGAACATTGCAAAATCTGTATGTTAGACTCCTTTTCCGGCCAAAAGTAATTCTAGCCAGGCTGAGGTCAGAGTGCAGAGTTTGTGGACGCACCTTTATTTTGGTGCAATCTGTACATCACTGCATTTCCTCAGCGGCATTCTATTCCCCTTCATCCCTCAACCATCAGCTAACCATGACTAAATGTTAACTTACAAAATGTGCAAGGACTTTCAGGGTCATGCCTTTTTCAGTTGAATTTTGATAATATGAGTGTTCGAGTTTTCTTCTTTCTTGCCTGACTTTCCTATTCCCTTTCTGTGTCTTCATGCAGGCCCCTGGCTACTGACGTATGGCAAGCTTTAGGGTAAGGACATACCTGGTGTTCTGAATGTGTGTATCCTCCAAAGTCTGCAATCTCAGCTGGAACTGGGTGGACCAGTATTCCCTCAACCAGGGCCCTGGCTGATGGTTCTTTCCTCATCTCCGTTAACTGTTGGATTTCCCTTTCTTGCTGTTCTCTCTGTCTCCAAACCCCTCTCAATTGCCTTTCCTAAAGACAGACCTTAGCAAGATAGGCCAGGACTTGGGACCTCGCACGGCACCCTGCAGTCCCAAGCCAGCATCTACTGCATCCCATCTTTAAGACTCTATTCCCCAAACAGATGCTGGAAGGCATCAGCTTCTGAGAACCCACTTTTTTCTGCATGACTAGCTTGTAAGGAGGAATCTATGGAGAGGATTTCCAAGAATTTCCCACTTTTTCAAAAATTATATGGCTTCAATCCAAGAACAAACTCAGTGATGAGCAGCTCCATTTCTGTGCACATGGTGGTGGAATCTGCAGAAATCGATGCAACATTTCTTTCCTGTCTGAGCTGTTTATATAATTGTACATAAATGTAGCAATAAATATATTCTAACATCAGCCTGAGCCCTACCGCACACTTGATTCTGCATGCTGGTGGTAGGCGGTGAATATCACTTGCCTGCCCCATCTCAGGTTCTCCTCTTCTCTGATTTCACAGTTAATTTGGACCTGGCCAGTATTTGGAGAAAGAAGGTTGAGGAGAGTTTGGTGGCAGAGCTGGGACGTGAAGCAGCATTATTAATTCATACGATGGCACTAGTCCTGGCACTCTGAGGTGTTTTGAATGTCCAAGGACTGAAGCTTAGAGGATTGGGTGACAGTTTGTGACACAAGTCAGCTGCCTTAACAGTCACTCTTGCCGGGCGCAGTGGCTCAAGCCTGAAATCCCAGCACTTTGGGAGGCCAAGGCGGGTGGATCACGAGGTCAAGAGATCGAGACCATCCTGGTCAACATGGTGAAACCCCGTCTCTACTAAAAATACAAAAAATTAGCTGGGCATGGTGGCTCGTGCCTGTAATCCCAGCTACTCAGGAGGCTGAGACAGGAGAATTGCCTGAACCCAGGAGGCGGAGGTTGCGGTGAGCCGAGATTGCGCCATTGCACTCCAGCCTGGGTAACAAGAGTGAAACTCCGTCTCAAAAAAAAAAAAAAAAAAAAAAAAAAAAAAAAAACCAGTCACTCTTACATCCTTCAAGTGCACGTTGTGCTGCAATTATTTGACAGGTACTTGCTGGGCACAAAGGTACCCCTTAAAGATTTTCAGAAAAAAAACCATGACATGGGATCTTAAGTCTAGTTATTTTAGAGACAACCTCCTCCCACAGGGGACACATAAACAAATAAACTTTTATTAGGCAGTTACAATATTGTTTGTCTAATATCAGGGAATATTTATTCCCAAAGCGGTCTCTTGTAATTTATGTGAAATCTTTGGTTATCAGGCACTTTTATAACTTAAAGGATAAACACATAGTTGTGGTTTCTTATCAAATTATGGCTTCTCAGGCCTCTCCTTGATTATAAATGGGAGTTGGCATAAAATCAGTCATAAGACCTGGCAATGCATTCGGCTGGGTGAGGTGGCTCGCACTTTGGGAGGCTGAGGTGAGTGGATCAGTTGAGGTCAGGAGTTCAAGACCAGCGTGGCCAACATGGAAAAACCCTGTCTCTACTAAAAATACAAAAATTAGCTGGGTGTGGTGGTGGGTGGTTGTAATCCCAGCTATTCGGGAGGCTGAGGCAAGAGAATCGCTTAAACCCAGGAGGCAGAGGTTACGGTGAGCCCGGATTGCACCACTGCACTGCAGCCTGTTGTAATACCCTATGGCAAACAGGGGCAAACAGCACTTGCGAGTTTACGTTTTGTGTATTAAAAAATATAGTCTGGGCTGGGCGCGGTGGTTTACACCTGTAATCCCAGCACTTTGAGGGGCCGAGGCGGGCGGATCACAAGGTCAGGAGATCAAGACCATCCTGGCCAAGATGGTGAAACCTCATCTCTAATTAAAAATAATAATAATAATAAAATATATAGTCTGGAAGAGACTTGAGGAAATCATCTGTCGAGCTCTTTAAACATTGAACAAGCAACTTTGAACAATTGTGCCACACCTGTTCTTACTCTCACCTTTTAACAGATATATCAGGGAACCTGAGGCCCCAGGTGAAAAGATAAAGAGGCCGAGGTGGGTGGATCATGAGGTCAAGAGATCGAGACCATCCTGGCCATGATGAAACCCTGTCTCTACTAAAAATACAAAAATTAGCCAGATGTGGTGGCACACACCTATAGTCCCAGCTAGTCGGGAGGCTGAGGCGGAAGAATTGCTTGAACCCAGGAGGCAGAGGTTGCAGTGAGCCGAGATTGTGCCACTGCAGCCTGGTGACAGAGCAAGACTCCGTCTCAAAAAAAAAAAAAAAAAAAAAAGAAGGCACAGTGTGGGCTGCTCCTTCAACAGCTAATTCCTGTGCAATGCACTGGGCAAACCTTTTCTACACATGGCTTTTGCTAGCCAGTACTGGTGATATGAGGGGAAATTATGAGAAAATATGTGGGACAAATTATCAATTGCTTCTGTTTATAGTGCAGTAAGAGAGAATCCCAATGAAAAATAGTGTTGTATAATCAAAAGTTTAGTTTATGAAGCTGTGAAGGATTGAGGGTTTTCAGCCTGTGGGTGTTAAAACCTGGGCACTTGCTGCGGCTCTGCCACTAATTCGTAGTTGGAACTTGGATAAGTTCCAACTCCAACCCTCAGGGCCTCCAATTCCTCTGCTGTAAAATGAGGTGTTTGGACTAAATGATTCCTAAGGTTCTTTTTGTTCTTACTCTCTTCTTTGGAAAAGGGAAAGGAGTGGCATAATTTTCATGTTAAAGAGAAAGGTCATTAGACAGCAAAAATGTGCAATTGAGAGGCAGAAAAGATACTTTCAACATTTTAGATTTAGGGTGTACTTGTGTAGGTTTGTTACATGAGTTTATTTTATGACGCTGAGGTTTGGGGTATGAATAGGATCATTCATACCTGTCACCAGGTAGTAAGCATAGTGCCCAGTAGGTAGTAGTTAAGCCCCTGCCACCAGCTCTCTCTCCCATCTCTAGTAGTTCCCAGTGTTTTTTTCTATTGTTCCCATTCTAATGTCCATGTGTACTCACTGTTTAGCTACTACTTTTAAGTGAAAACATGTGGTATTTTGTTTTCTGTTCCTATGTTAACTCACTCAGGATAATGGCCTCCAGCTGCATTCGTGTTGCTGTAAAGGACATGATCTCATTCTTTTTTATGGCTGCATAGTATTCCATGGTGTATATGTACCACATTTTCTTTATCCAGTCCACTGTTGATGGGCACCTAGGTTGATTCCATATCTTTGCTATTGTGAGCAGTGCTGTGATGAACATATGAATGGATGTGTCTTTTTGGTAGAATGATTTCTTTTCCTTCGACTATATACCCAGTGATGGGATCACTGGGTCAAATGGTAGTTGTTTTAAGTTCTCTGAGAAATCTCCAAACTGCTTTCCACAGTGGCTGAACTAATTTACATTCCCACCAACAGTGTATAAGCATTCCCTTTCTCCACACCTCACCAGCATCTGTTGTTTTTTTGCCCTTTCAATACCAACCACTTGGACTAGTGTGAGATGGTATCTCATTGTGGTTTTGATTTGCATCTCTCTGATGATTAGTGATGTAGAAACATTTTTTCATATGTTTGTTGCTGCTTGTATGTCTTCTTTTGAAAAGTGTCTGTTCATGTCCTCTGCCTACTTTTTAATGGAGTGGTTTTTTGCTTCTTGAATGATTTAAATTTTTTAGAGACTCTGGATGTTAAACCTTTGTCAGATGCATAGTTTGAGAATATTTTCTCCCATTCTGTAGGTTGCCTGTTTACTCTGTTGATAGTTTCTCTTGCTGTGCAGAAACTCTTTAGGTGAATTGGGTCCCACTTGTGAATTTTTGTTTTTGTTGCAGTTGCTTTTGAGGACTTAGCCATAAAATGTTTGCCAGGGCCAGGTTTTCTTCTAGAGTTTTTATAATTTGAGGTCTTATATTTAAATCTTTAATCCAGCTTGAGTTACTTTTTGCATATGGTGAAAGGCAGTGGTCCAGTTTCATTCTTCCGCATATGGATAACCAGTTATCATAACACTATTTATTAAATAGGGAGTTCTTTCTCCATTGCTTATTTTTGTCAACTCTGTCAAAGATCAGATGGTTGTAGGTGTGTAGCTTCATTTCTGGCTTCGCTACTCTATTCCATTAATCTGTGTGTTTGTTTCTATACTAACATCATGTTGTTTTAGCTATGGCAGCCTTACAGGATAGTTTGAAGTTTGGTCATGTGATGCCTCTAGTTTTGTTCTTTTTGCTTCAGAGTGCTTTGGCTATTTGGGCTCTTTCTTGGTTCAGTATGAATTTTAGAATAGATTTTTCTAATTATGTGAAAAACTGACCTTGGTAGTTTGACAGGGATAGTGTTGAGTCTGTAAATGGCTATGGGCATAATGGCCATTTTAATGATATTGATTCTTCCTATCCATGGGCATGGAATGTTTTTCCATTTGTTTGGATCATCTATGATTTCTTTCAAAAAAAATTTTTTTTTCTGAGACACAGTCTCAAGGCTAGAGTGCAGTGGCACAATCTAGGCTCACTGCAACCTCCGCCTCCTAGGTTTGAGTGATTCTCCTGCCTTAGCCTCCTGAGTAGCTGGAACTACAGGCACACACCACCAAGCCCAGCTAATTTTCGTAATTTTAATAGAGATGGGGTTTTGCCATGTTGGCCAGGATGTTCTTGAACTCATGACCTCAGGTGATCCACCTGCCTTGGCCTCCCAAAGTGCTGAGATTATAGGTGTGAGCCACCACACCTCGCACCCGATTGCTCTTGCTAAGACTTCCAGTACTATGTTGAATAGAAATGGTAAAAGTGGGCATCCTTGTCTTGTTCCTGTTCTTAAGGGGAATCCTTCTAGCTTTTGTCTGTTCAGTATGATGCTGTCTGTGGGTTTGTTACAGATGGCACTTATTATTTTGAGATATGTTCCCTCACTGCCTAATTTGTTGAAGATTTCTATCATGAAGGGATATTGGATTTTATCAAAGGCTTTTTCTGCATCTATTAAGATAATCGTATGGTTTTTGTTTTTAATTCTGTTCATCTGATGAATCACATTTATTGATTTGTGTATGTTAAGCTAGCCTTGCATCCCAGGAATAAAGCCAGCTTGACCATGGTAAATACTGGGTTTGATTTGCTGGTATTTTGTTATGGGTTTTTGGGTCTGTTTCATCAGGGATATTGGCTTGTGGTTTTCTTTTCTTTCTTTTTTTTTTTTTTTTTTTTTGTGTTGGAATTTTGCTTTTTTTGGCCAGTCTGGAGTG